GGGTTTCCTTGCTTTTTGGATTTCCCCCCCATTTCCGATGGGTCTTGGGGAGTTTGTTTGCTTTTTGGATCCCCCCCATTTCCAACCTTGCACAATCTGCTTGATTCCTTTTTGCTTTGTCTTGTTTGCATTTGCAATGGGTCTTGCACGATTGATTGCTTTTCTCCCCCCCCCTTTCATCTGGAAGGGATTAATCACATTTCCAACTGGTCTTGCACTTTTCTTCCCCCCCCTTTCAACTGGAAAGGATTAATCACATTTCCAACTGGTCTTGCAGTGATTTTTGGGGTGTGTGTGATTTTTTCCTTCAGCCGGAGCAGATTAATTGCATTTCAATACATTCCAATGGGAAATGGTGCTTCGATTTACGACCATTTCGAGTTATGACCATCTTCCTGAACCAATTAAGTTTGTAAGTCGAGGCACCCCCCCCTTTCAACTGGAAAGGATTAATCACATTTCCAACTGGTCTTGCAGTGATTTTTGGGGTGTGTGTGATTTTTTCCTTCAGCCGGAGCAGATTAATTGCATTTCAATACATTCCAATGGGAAATGGTGCTTCGATTTACGACCATTTCGAGTTATGACCATCTTCCTGAACCAATTAAGTTTGTAAGTCGAGGCACCACTATATTTCCACATGCATTGGAATTATTTGCTTGTACACAATACAGATTGTTATTTCATGCTCTGTGCCAGAGCTTGCAAGTAGCCAGCTACAAAAAAAGGGGGGAGGGTTACTTGCAACTAATTCCTTTTTCCAGCAATACAAGTTTTTTTTCCCATGCAGTACAACTGCATGACAGTATGATTATAACTTAAGGAGTAATTTCATTCTTTCTGTTGTGTAACTGGCCTATAAAGGTATGGAGTTTTGAATTTTTGTGTGTTTCAATATGGCTGTCACCGTATATAGCTTTTAAGTAACTTTTATAGTTAGGAGTTGTGAATATTTGTGCCAGCTGGAATGGATAAAAATTTGTATGTCAGAGTGGGCAGGTGGGGACAGCATAAAGACGGACTGATACTGCTTGACACATTGGGAATAGAAATGGTTAAGAGTGGCCATTTTGCAGGAAAGTTTCCTACAGATACCGCAGCGAGCTAGGGTGCTGAGCTGCAGAGCCAGAGGTTGGGACTTTGATTCCCCACTGTTCCTTCCAAGAGAAGAGCCAGCCTTTGTAGCATCGGGTGAACTCCACAGTTTCAGGGCACTGCAGAAAAGGGGAATAGTATATCAATTCTGAATATTCTGTGTTTAGAAAACCCTGGAAGGTGTTAGCATAATTCAGAATCAATTTGACAACATACAACTATTGATTACTGTTAAAGTCATACAGGTGTATCCATTTAAACATTACTCTCAACAGTGCTTCATAAATTTCCACATCTTTAGTTAAAGTATTACAGATTAATCATCTAATGATCTAAGACAGTTTTATCCATGTTTAAAACTGGGCTGAATTTCTGCACCCATGCTTGCAATGGCATAATTCATTATGCTCTGAAATATGTAACTTTATTTCATTTTTCAGTCTACTGTATAATAGTGCTTGGTAGGAGCACAAATCCTGGGAAATTTCCTGCCTGAACCAAGTATTTGAAAGGAATTAGCTGTTGGTCATTGATCGGTTTTGTAATATTTAATCTGTTTGTGAAGTTAACAAGGGTGTGTTTAGCAAAATGTCTTAAAGGCTTTTTTCAACAACAACAAAATAAGTAGTTCACCTTAAATGTCAAGAAGAATGCCTAACTCAACACACAGTGAACTAGCTATGAGCAGCTTGTGGTGCAGTAACTCCCTGTATGCAATGGTGTAAAGGGGAATCTACATAGCAACTTTCATTGGTAGAAGATGTTTTGGAGAGAGTAAATTCATGGGTAATAATAACAAAACTTCCTAGAAAGTCTATTACAGCATCCTGTAGTGCATCAACAGGTAGTGCTGCTAAATTGTGTTCATTGTGTATGTCTATATATAAGTGGATGAAATTAAGTTAGAACTTGACTGGATTTGATAAATGTTGATGCTATGGTTTAAAAATAGAGGCTCTATCATCATCACCCTTGCTGCTAGATGGCACTAGAACACAAACTTTTGGTTCTCAGACCAAAATAGTATTAACATTTCTCCAGTGTTAAAAGTTGTGCCCAAAGTTTCATGAGAATGAAAAGTTAACTCCCAAAGCTTTGTTGTTTTTGCTGTTTTTGTTAAAAAGAAAATGAAGTTTCTTTTTTATTCAGATAATTTGTCATCTGTTGGCAGCAGAAAAATATGTTGGACCTTATGTCAATGTATTTGCATGCAGTACATATAAATGTCTTGCCACATGGTTGGTTTTAATACATGTTGTAGCGCAAATCATGGCATCAGGTACACATGTATTAAATATTGTGGCTGCAATGAGAATGAGACACCATACAGTGTTTTACTGAGAAGGTACAGATGGCAATTTTTTTTCATAATTCTATGATGTGTTAAACTTCAGAAAAGTATAATTATGATTATGAGTTATAATACGTTGCTTAGAAATGTACACTAGAGATCTTTTTACAGAGTAGCTTGGAAATGTATGCTCCCCTTGATTGGATTGGGAATTGCATCAGCAATTTCTAATGTCATTGGAGACACCTGGTGGGGAGGGGAAGTGGTTTTAGATGTTTCAATACTGGAGCTAATCCACATGCCTTAGTTAGAACCTTCCCGTCAGATTCAATAATGAAAAACGTTATAACAACAAAATACTAATGACACCTAATATACTTTCAACAAGGGTTTTTTTTAATGCAGAGGGGAGGTGATTTTTTTTTCCTTATAAATTACAAACTTCATGAACATAAAAGGTATGGGGAGGATAGCAGTAAGTATTTAAAGCAGGATAGATAAAAATCAATGGTTTTTAAAAATCAATTAAAAAATCAATTTAAATAAAAATCAAATTCAATTTAAATCATGAAACATCCAGTTTTTTTATTTCAATAAATGTGATTTAAATCAAGTCTACTCTGATTTAAAGGGATGGAGGGTGTGATCAGATGAGCATTTAACCCCCTGCTTGGTGTGTTGTGGGAATGGGTTGGTTCACTCCTTTTTCCCCCAGAGATCACATGATGTAATTGCTGGAGCAAACCAAGTCATCCCCAGAGCATTCCTACTCACACCTTTCTGAGCCCCTCTCAGGGGCTTCTCCTTTTTTAGTGAGCCTAGGATCATTTTAGTTTGGTCCATTTCCAACCTGTGTGATCACTAGAAATGGAACAAAAGTGACCCTTCTAGTTGTCACGTCTCCTTCCAGTTTGAATTTCCAATATTGTGAAGAAGCTTAATAGGTGAGCCACTTCAGGATATTGACAAATTTAATACTTCCTCTGCCCCCCCAAAACAGGTGCCCATGTTCAGCACTCTCCAGTCTGCTCCCGCACCTCCCCCCAAAAAAAAGCTGTGTAGAGAAGCCTTTAGTGTGTGTTAAAAGTCATTTTGACTGAGGAGCTTCCTGGAGGTTGTTCATGGATTTCATCAATCTTTGTTTCAGATCTTCCACAGTCACCTATAGCCTTAAAAGTCATTCATGCTCCTATTTAAACTGGAATATGATCTATGTCCATGACTTTTAAAGTGTATTTTTTCTGCAGATTATTGGCATATGAAGAAGGAACAGGAGTGGGTGCATTTTTCTGTTTCTAATACATATGGCTGCTTTGGACACTTTATGTTCCAAACCAACTATTTACAATTTTCTGTTTATTTACTTTATCCCTACCTATCTCCCTTGCAGGATCCAGGGTGGCTCATGGCATAAATTTAAAAACAGACAATAGCAAAAAACCCAAAATAGATTAAAATATGAAAACAACATTATACAGATTATCACACCAAAACAAGTACTCAGATAGTCTGTATAATGTTGTTTTCATATTTTAATCTATTTTGGGATTTTTGCTATTGTCTGTTTTTAAAGCAGCATCAACAAAAAGCACAATGCTCACTGCCAAAAGGCCTTCCTCACTGAAGAATCAGGGGCCAGAGGTATGTCTACTAAAAACATCTCTACTTGCCATCAGAAAGATAGGGTCAGGGAAGACAGTTAGAAATAGTAGAAAATTGGTCCTGGGACCACCAGAGATTCCCTACTTCTGCATAACAGTTGAATATATATCTTCTTCCATTGTACTGGCTTAGGAGGTATCCATTTTTGTGAATTAAGTTTAAAACACCAGCCTTACCTATTCAGTGCTTGTACTGTAATGTGTTCACCAGCTGAAAACAGTAATTGAATTCAGCAATCTAGGGACAAAGGATGCCAACGCAGGTGTTAGAAGTTCTGACTGTGTGGCTTTTTTGAAATTTCCAAGATGAAACTGATACAGTTTAAATCTGGGTAGATTCTTGCTACTTCTGATTGTGCTGCCAAGTATCTGTAGCCATATATGGCGATTTTTAAATGGCATTTTTTGTTTCAGATGTTAAAAGGGGTCCATCAAAGTCAATAATTCTCTTAATCAGTGATGACTGGTGTTCATGAAGAGTTGCTTGGGATAGGATTCAAAGTGCTTGTACATTTGGGAACACCTGCCGATTACACACACTAAGTACATCTTCTCATCCTGCTGCAAGAGATCCAACTGCTTGGCTATGTGCAAGAGTGTTATCACGTGACAGCAATGTTCTTTTAAATGTAACTGCAGATGCCTTGAAGACACCCAGCCTCATCTGATTTTTAGAAGACCTGGGCTTAGGTAGCACTTGAATGGGAGACAGCCAAGTAATATCAGGGGTTCAGACAAGATTCTCTCCTAGCTTTTTTTGTGGAGATCAGCTGCCTGTCAGAGTTGATAATATAAGGCTAGATGGAATGACTGAATGACTTTGGTGTAAGCCAGCATGCTGTGCTCATTATTGCCTTACCTTTTATCTTAGAAGCTTATTTTATATGGAACTAATTTCTAGTTTTGTGATCTCTATCTCTCTCTCTCTTTTATTTTATTTTATTTTTGCTTAGGACATGGACGCTGTGTGGAACTCCAGAGTATCTTGCCCCAGAAGTCATACAGAGTAAAGGTCATGGAAGAGCAGTGGACTGGTGGGCCCTTGGCATTCTCATATTTGAGATGTTGTCTGGGTAAGTTCCTTGGCAGTCTGGGGAGGGGACAGAATTTTTAAAGCGACCTATACTTTGCTTTTTCTTTCTGTTGAAAGTAGCATGGACAATCTCATTTTGTTACTTCATTGTTTGAGATAATCCATTCATTATAAAATAGGGAAAAAACATGTTTGGAGACCGAGAAAGAGTCTGTTCGAAACACATAATCATGTGGAATTCTTTTCTGCTGTAAATGAAAAGGAATTACAGTTCTTTGGTTTCTTTTGGGAAATTGGTGCTCTTTTCACAAATCCTCTCAGCTTTATGGGAGCTATATCTATGATGGGTCCCCATTCAACTAGAACAACAACAGTATGATCTAATCATGTCATTGGGGCTGATCCTGTGGGTCTTTTCCAATAATGAAGATGGATAATAGTGCGTAGACCAGAGCCTTATCTGGTTAGAAATGTTTCTTTGTGAACAAAATCAGTGTTGAGCAAAAGAGCACAAATGTCTAAATTTCATTATCAGCTTGCCTGCCTCAGCATAAAACTGTTCATCAGCAGAAGAAGCTATTTTGCATCACGTGTGTCCATCTTGTTGGCAGCCTAGAAGATGATTACTGGGGCTACAAGGAGTATTTTATCTAAGCTGTGGCAGCTGTTCAGTGATTTGTATCTGAGGGGTAAATCATGTCCACCAGTAGGCATACAGGGATGTTACCCCACTGTTGCCTACCTAATTTGTAGGAGAATCAAGGTTTCACATCAGGTTGTGGAGAGGAAACATTCTGCACACAAAGGTGCACTAGAATGTGGAAGTCCATATGATAATACATGCTTTTACCGTGTTATATTGGTGGTACAATAGACCGAAGTGTAACTTGAAATTAACTTTTTTTATTATTAAAGAGTGGAAGGTGGAAGAAGAAGGAGAATGAGTATGAGAGAATGTATTTTCATATTCCAGAAATACTGTACAATAATATTTTAATCCACCAGATTAAAGCAATCTCAGACTTAATATATCAATTATTTCACTCAATTTGTTTCCTTAGGGGAACAAAACTGTAATTGAAAACCTCAAATATTCTTCTCTTTTCTTCACCGGATATTTGCTGCTTAAATGCCTTTCCTGTTAAAGTCCCATGCGATTGCATAACATAAATGACTGCTTGTGTACTGTCATCTAAAGCTGTAAAAGTTTTGCTTTATCTTGTCATGTATCTTGTTAATTCTGTCTTCAATAAAGTGGGGAAATGAATATAGCATCTCTTCTACAATAAACCCCATTGCAAGAGAATAAATGTTGAATGAAAACATTGTAGTTCCAGCTGTACAAGTATTCCACAACATTTTTTATATTCACATATATATGCAATTATTTTGCCCACTAATTATTTTAGTGGCCAAAATCCTATTGCTTAGCATAGTAAATTGGACTAAAGTAGGTGTGTTTGATCAATGAGGATTTAGTGAGCCAACTCCTCAGTATGATCATTGATTCAAATGGGCCTACTCTAATTGGGACTGTGCTAAATCACAGTTAGAGTAAGCTCATTTGCATTAGTGGAACTTACAGAGGAGTTGATTACCAAATCCCCACTGAATTCAGTAGACCCCCACCACACATACTGCCTGTTTATTCTGTCTGTTAGAACAACACTGGTGCAGGAGGGCAAGCTAAAAGGGAGGGCTTCACTCAACTGGCTGCAATGAATTATCGAAAAATCAGTACAAAACTATTAATATCAAAACTATTAATATCAAGAACCGTTGATTCTGATAGAATCATATTCTTTAAGAATTAGTGTAAAACTGAGGACATGGGCAGATTAGAGAGCCTGTGTTCTTATTTTTAAAATATAGCTATAAATATTTGCTTTCTGCCTGTTCTGGAAAAAAAAAATTAAAAAAAACATATTTAAAAAAGATGCTTTCAAGATATGGTCTGATACTTCCTGCAGAAACATTTCCATTAAAACTATTATAAAAATCAGCTAAAGATGCACAGCTAAGGTCATAAAGACAGAAATAGGTTCCTGAATACTGTAGTATTTTTAAATACTGCTACATATACAGAGATGTTATCTAAAAACACATCAAGAAACTGTTGCACCAAAAGCCCTTTGTAGGCTGTTTTAAACCACATCATACTGTGAATTATGTATAATGAATCTGAAAAGCTTGGTTAGCAGAAGCTGCCTTGAGATGGAATTCTGCTTTGCCTCACCTATCTCACCACTGCAGACAGTAGGCTGCAAAAGTGAGACCTCAGCTCCAGCTTCCTTGATGCCAAACTTCCATGACAGAGGGAAACATAATATTAAGGAAGGGCAGATCAGAGGGACTTGTTAAAATCTGGAGAGCTTTACTTTTTATTTTTTTTAAAACGCTGTCTTAGTTGCATCTGAAAATGTCAATATATACTGTAATAGCAAAAGCTATACGTGTTACCATCTGGATTGAAAAACCTTATGTCTAAACTGGAAGAGTTCCATGAACGAATCATGCTTATAAATGGTTAGGAGATCCTATATGGTAGTGGTTCTTAACCTTTGTTACTCGGATGCTTTTGAACTGCAACTCCCAGAAACCCCAGTCAGGACAGCTGGTGGTGAAGGCTTCTGGGAGTTGCAGTCCAAAACTCCTGAGTAACCCAAGGTTAAGAACCAGTGCTATATGGGAGCAAAAACATGTGGCCATAGTAGTATTCTCTGGTTAGTAGTTAAGCATTTGCTATCCCTGATTTATGGGAAAGCCCTTTAATCAAATTCTCCAATATGAAGGCTCTCAGGCGTATCTGTTTAATCCTGCTCAGTTACATGATTATGTATTTCTGGGGAGCTGATACGTCTTAGAATGGCCTGGTCAAAAGTGCATGAAAATATCGCAGTGTCTCATCCTTCTCCATTATTTAGGGCCTACAGGAAAACTAATGACTTGTAAATGGAGTATCACAACCTTAGTACCTCTTTGTGCTTCTGCAGTAAGAGAATGGCTATTTTATTGTGGAAGTACTTACACTTATGCGATGTCCTCAGAATTGTGTTAAGTGGCATGACATCTGTCACTGAAAATGTTGTCTGTGCATATATCAAGTCACCCAGCCCCTGAAATAGGATTCGTCGCCATATTGATTCACATTATTTTGTGTGGTATCAAATTCCATTTAATGTGCCATATAGATTCAGTTGCAAATGGAAGTAGTTGATTTGATTTGGTATAAGGCATTTTGCCATTTGAGACAGAAAAACGAATTGCTTCTCTCATCCCCATGATTTTCATATGTCCCTTTGTCTAGCTGTATCCAGACGTCAAAACAAGGAGGGAGTAATCTGAATGGGTGAAGGGAGGAGAATTCTAGACATGCCTCCTGCCTGTACAAGCAGAAGGAGCAGGGGAAAAGGAAAGGTTATGTTCCATGTGATTGGGGAGCTGAGGGGAGGGAAGGGGGGTTCCATTTACATGGGAATCCTCCATATATGGCAAACAGCCTCTTCTTAGATTATCCTTCTTCACATGGAGACAGTCACAGGTGGGGTGTGGGAGCACAACTGGAATTCTCTCCCTTCTCAGATTGAGGTTAACCCATTTCTGAATGCCTGAATGGGACAGGTGCTGTGAATTCAGCAAAATCCCAAACAGGCTGATTCAGAGAGATCTGGTCTTAGAGGGGCTGGGTCTGTGTTTGATTCACAACCTGACAAGAGCCTTTTTAGGGAGTCAGATCTGGTGGCCAGAGATGTGGAGATTGAAGTAATGCTGGTCTTAGAGGGGCTGGGTCTGCATTTGATTCACAACCTGACAGAGCCTTTTTAGGGAGTCAGATCTGGTGGGAAACCAAGAGTATATGTTCACATAAGAGAACAAGGGGAACGCTGGGGCTGTGAGAGGAGCTTCGTGACTGACATTTTTAATCACAATGCCTTGTGTTTCCTTTACAAAGGTTTCCTCCATTCTTTGATGACAACCCATTTGGAATATATCAGAAGATACTTGCTGGCAAAATAGACTTCCCCAGACATTTAGATTTATATGTAAAGTAAGTGTGCTCACCTTAATTGTATGTTTATTTTCTTTTAAGTTCTGCTTTAATATTATTTTAAAATAGCAGTCAAAGTGGAGACCACAGCACAGTGTGGGGAGTCATTTGTCATATGTAGCTATTCAAGAACGTAGTAGGCATGAGCTATTTGTTATTCTGGAGTGGGGAAATATTATTTATTTTGATCAGGGTCAAGAAAAATCAATGATTAAATAAATGTGTTTTAAATCAAATCCACCCTGTTTTTAATCTTACGACAACGGAGCTACAGCGGGTGATGTCTCTCGTACTGGCTTCTGGATCTATAAAAGACTACTGGTTATTCAAATATATATAAAATCTTGCATGTTGGTATTGTATGCTCAAGACACTTATCTGCATATATATTTGCCATAGATACAGTGGGGCAGGAAAATGCAAAGAAGGCAGTTAAGACTAACTGCTCTTCATAATTAGAGGATCTGCTCTTGCTTGCTCTGTGAAAGCTTAATACCATGGTGTTTCATTTCTGTAACCTCTTAACTCAGTGCATAATTTAGAAGAATGAAACCTTTCACTTCCTGGCTATTTAAGTTTACATTAGATCGTGATGATGGTTGTCGAGAGGGAAATGGTTAGTTAGGATGCCTTCATTCCGTTAAGAAGATATGAGCTGATGTGATAAGTAAGGGAGAGGGTAGAATAAACTTATAAACAACATATGTTCGTAGGATCTCAACAGCACACATTTTTCTGTCCCTATATAGGCATATAGGCATTTTGCTATATGGATTTCTTAGAGTAGGAGTACTGAAACTGCATCATATCTTGAAACTGTTTTTTTTTAAAAAAAATGAATTTGCTGCTTGTTGTTGACTCTGAATGTAGAACATATAGCTATCCATGAAAAGTTTATTTTCATTACCTTTTCCTCTTCTGTTTTAAACACTGGAGCAAGGTTTGTTATTTGATGTCTCTGGAAAAGAGTGCATTGGCAGTGAACATAGTATATATAAAAGGAAACAACCTGCTTAATATGTCAAAGCAGTAACATTGCTTTGCGACATCATGGGTAGTATGCTTTAAACAGTGTACATTAAACTACATCCTCTCTTGCCCATACCTCTGGGTCCAGTTCATACATGGCAGGGGTATGGAAAGTTCACTTTCCTATCACTTTTCCCCCACACTAATCCATTAATGTTCCGATGTAGCAGGCACTTGGACAAGACCAACACTGTGATAGTCCCATTTCATCTACCATCCATCTGGAATGGAAAATGATTACCTTGTGGTTTTGTCACTCAGGTGTTTCTCTTGTTAAGAAAATGGTATTATAACAACTTTGACTCAGCATAGTCCACAGTGCATTTTTTCCTGATGCACAAAACAGAAAACCAGAGCCATCTTCTGATTAATTGGCCATTTTTGTCTGGCTAGCATTTTCCCGATAATTAGAACTTCCTAGCCCAAAGTGAGATGGCTAGGATCTTTTTGTGAAGGAGGTAGGCAGCCAACCTTCAACCACCGTGCCAAATCGTAATAAAATGCTGGAGTATATCAAGGAAGATTTGGGTTGGGGTTTTTTTTTTGTCATCATGGAAGCAACGGTTCCTATCTTTACTCTTAATTTTAATGTGTTAAACAAATAGAGAACCAAAATGATTAAGCAGAAAGTTAGTTTTCTGTGTAGCTAAAAAATGATACACTAATTTACCTGACATTACTTGCGCGTGCGCGCGCACAAACACACACACACACACACACAGGTATTTTATGCTCCTTATCTTCTCAGTTACTGCTTGTTTCTTGTTTAAAAAAAACTGCATGGAAACAATTCAGCTTTGAAAGTCTAGCAACTTTTCCCCCTTATTTGTCCAGGGACCTTATTAAAAAGCTTCTTGTGGTTGACAGAACAAGACGGCTGGGAAACATGAAGGTATGTTGTAAATATTTAAAATACGTTTTTAAGCTCTCCATATTCAAACCATTACATAAATGTTCTTCTTAGTTTCAATTTAAAGAAATACTTTTCTGCTTAAGAGCAAATTCTGCTATGATAGGAATGTTTTATGTGATGTTGTTGTAATTGAGTAAGTAATTCAAGAGTCTTCATTACTTTTTGCATCTGATAAACAGCTAGCAATGCAGCATTCCCAGCTAAAATGTAACCACAAGACAAGTGTTCAAATTTATATGAGTCTGATTGCAGTATTTTAGCCTCAGCAGCTGCTGTATTATTATTTGTGAAAGTGTTTTCTGCTGGCTTGCAGAAACAAAATTATGTACAGTCTCATATAGAATCAGTATTTGCTGTGTTGTTTCACTATTGTTTACAGCAGCATTGACACAAATCTTTAAAAATCAGAGGATCTAAATATTAGTACTCTTCTATAAACGGCATGCAATATATCAGTCTTTTAGTTGTCTGTAAAACTGTAGGCATCCCTGAAACTTAAGCACTTTCCTTTAAACCTCAGCCCTTGTGTTTAGAGAAATGCAGGTAATATTTTGAGGCTAATATTCTCAGTACAGTGGTGCCTCACTAGATGATGATAATCCATTCCAATGAAATTGCTGTTTAGCAAAATCATTATCTAGCGAAAAGCATTTCCCCATTGGAATGCATTGAAACTGTTTAATGCATTCCAATGGGGAAGAATCGTCGTTGTCTAGCGAAGATCGGCCATAGGAAAGCCACTTTGCGAACCGCCGATCAGCTGTTTAAATCGCTATCTTGCGAAGCTTAGGTCTCGAAAACACCTGTTTGCGAGTGCAGAGAGAGCTGTCAAAATCGTCGTCTAGCAAAAATCGGTTTGCGAAGCAGGGACCAAACATTGTCCAGCGAAATTCCCCCATAGGAGTCACTGTTTTGCAAATTGCTATAGCGATCGCAAAAAGCCAATGTCTAGCGAAAAAACTATCATGTGGGGTAACTGTCTAGCAAGTCACCACTGTATACTAAAGCTCAGGACTCCAGAACATCAATCAGTGAAGCTCTTTACATTAATGCAGTTCACACACGAAGCATCAGTAAACAGTGTTGGAGGAGGTGAGATTTGCAATCTGTCACAGGCAAACCCACTCATATTTTCTTCTGCTGCGTACCTCATCGTATATCTAAATAACTAAAGAAGTAATTATGTGGAGCTTTTAGAACTCTGTGCACATGTTTCTCAAACAGTAACACCCCCATAACAGATAGATTAGTAAATAACATTCAAGTATTAAATGAGTTTCAAAAGGTCAGTGGTACAGTATGGAGGCCTACAGTTTTAAAAGCAAAAATTATTTTCTAGTTCTGTATGCACAGGTTTAGATCATGTCTAGATGCTGCTTTAGATCTCAGTCCTAGTTTAGTGATATTACTTTTGGAGTGTTGTTGGGGTTTTTGTGTTCATCTTGTTTGCAAACAATATGTAAAAAGGGGTTATTTGTAACCAGAGGAATCCAGATTTTGTACACAAGACTCTCCTGTAAAATACAGTACATGAGACCAGAAAATGTGGATTTCTGAAGGATTTGTATTAAATGCATAGAATGCACAGGTGATAGAATTCACGTGTGGTCATTGCAATTTATAGAGGTTTTGCTGCAGCATATTTTGCTATACCCTGGTATTAACCTACATCATAATTTTTATTTTTCCAAAGAATGGAGCTGATGATGTGAAGAGGCACCGATGGTTTAGGTCTGTAGACTGGGATGGTGTACCACAGAGAAAATTAAGGGTAAGGTGCACAAAATTTAATTTCTCTTTGGATGAGATAAATACTAGAATACTTCTGTTTCATTTGACACTTTTTGCACTTTGTTCCAGTTCTATTTGAGAAGTACCAAAGGAACTATAGTGTACAGTGAAGGTCATAGAGTCACATTCCTTAAAATAAGTCTTAAAAGCATGATAGAAAAGTTTGAGTAAATCCAAAATTATTTCCAACTAGGGTAGATTAAATTGAAATGAAAGTGACTTGTTATTTGCTAGTTATGCAAGTTCCCACTGATTTCAATAAGGCTACTCCTGTCGCGTTTTGCCCATAATGTGCAAGAGGCTGTGGTTGATCGGGCTTATCAGGTCAAGCAACTGAAAGTAGCATAAGCTAATGTTATGCCACATGATTTAAGGAAAATGGGTGTGTAGTTACAGAAACTTCTAGACATAAAGTCATTTGACCACAGATCAAATTTGTTCACTTAAAAGTTATTTGTCCTTTTTTATTCAGCCTCCTATAATACCGAAAGTATCAAATGACGGTGATACGTCTAATTTTGAAGCTTATCCTGAAGATGACTGGAACAAAACACCTCCTGTACCTCCTAAAGACCTAGAAATTTTCAAAAACTTCTAAGTGTGAGACAAAGAATATAATTAAGGTATTGGAGAATCATAATCACTATTCATTGCAAAAATATGTAAAAGTTCTTTTAGTGCTGTTGTACTAAAGTCTAAGCTTGTTTATAGCAAATATCTTAATATCTACTGCAATAATATTAAAATAATGGTAATAGTTTTCTTACACTACTTTGGCTATATGAAGAAACAAAGGGGAAATGTTCTTACAGAGCATTGGTGGCAATCACATAGCTCTCAGTCCACAGGTGTCCAGTCAGGACTTTAAAAACCTGCATTTAGCATTTAAAAACCAAAAAAAGTGACAGTCCTGATTTTGGCAAAGGGAGCAAGGTTGGCACTCAGAAGCCCCAATGGATGAAAATTGAGTTTTGTAGCTCCCATACTCTGTGTGGCTCCTGACCCTCTTTTAGATATTTCATTGCATAAGAGTATAATGCACCATATCATACAGTTATACTTATTACTACAGATAATCATAAAAGAAGTATTAATGTCTATGATTGGTGCCCAAAGTTTCAAAGTCTAGTTATAAAACTTTGTAAAAGATGAGGGAATGCAAATGTCTGCTACAATGAAATATGAATATACTGAACACTTGTTCTTATTTATTTGCTAGACACTGGAAGAATATTCAGATAGTTTGTGACTGGAAAAGAAGAACTGAAAATCTGCAGAAGAATTTTACTGAAATGAATAAACAAAAGAATATTACTATGTTAAGCACAGACTTTAAAGAAATGAGGTTATAAGTCTGGAAATGGACAATATTTGGGTTTCATTGTATGGGTCTGGCATTACTCAGTAAACTAAAATACTGAGGTACCTAGGTGAGGTGCAAACACTGAAATTGTGATAGCTTTTTTTAAATTAAAGTTATTTTAGTTCTGTTTCATGCAATGCCCAACTCTTTTTTGCAGTTATCTCATAGACTAACTTTGTAAGTTTATACTAAGATTATCATTTAAAGCACAAATTAGTATATATGTATATAATGAATTCAATACAACTAGAGCACAGAAACTGTGCAAAATGTAAAATTTTGTACTTTACAGAGTCTATGGTTTTTATTCTTCAAGATGCCCTCCAGAAGAGAAAATAATAATCCTGAAATGATAAATAGGTTTTTAGCATCTTCTATATATTTTGTAATTCTTTATAAAAATAAATATACACATAAATTTTAAGAAAAGTGTATCACTTCCAGTGCTTAACACCATACTACTTGAAAGCTGAATGATAAAAGGCCTTGTCATAAGCCTTATTTTGTCCTTAGATGGCATCATGTTTTCTTTTCAAAGTTGAAGTAAAAGGATGTGTATTGCACATCACAAGTCTTTGTGACTACAGACTATGTTAAAATAAGTTTTTCATTCTTAATCATATGAAATAATAGCAAGGTGCACGCGCACACACATACACTGCAGCACTGACTGCTAATAAGGGTAAGTTCTCTTGTTTTCTGTTTTCAGATTTTCATAGAATTGTTGTAGTTGCCAGGGGCTCAAAAATTATCTCACCCAAGCCTCTACTCTAAGTGCAGGGTCACGCATAATATGTATCACTGTAACCTCAAGTGATGGATTGATGTTTGAAAGAGTCATCACGTATCAAGCAGTGCAGTTAGAAAATCCATGTTTAAATTAGGATTAATCATGCAATTGGTACCATCAAAATAAACCTGAAAGGGTAGATTTAGCAATCATGAAGGGGAATATAGTTTTCATAGATAACTTAGGTTAAGATAAAGACTCATCTATCCATAACTGCACTGCTCAAACCAAGTGCCACTCCTGGGATTTGATGTTATTTTAAGGATGCAAGATGTTCTGCCTGCATATATTTAAGAAGTTATTTTAAAATGTTGACTTCCAGCTGTTATTTTCTCTATACTGTGCAACTTGGTGCCCTCCATATATTTTGGACTACTGGTCCCTTTATATACGTCTGTTCAGTAATATTGGTACCCTTAGGGAAAGAATGCTAGAAATTACAAGCTTAACTTGAATGTTTAATGATTATACATAATGTAAATTCAAATATTTACATTATTGCCCAGCCATTCAAAGTGGTGTATGGCATTCTCCAAAAACATTGTTTTAATAGTCATTGCCTTCTAGAACTATTTCACTTAACAATTTAGCTTTGAATACAAGATTTGGCTGTATCTCTTCCATTTAAAATTTGCAGCCGTATATTTTCTTTTTTAAATTTTCAGCTATTTTAGTGCATCTGACAGTAAAGCTGGCCCAGTTCCTTAACTGACAATGGGATTTCCATGGGTATTCTTCTCTCAATAGCATTGTGTCACTCATGAGTCATTCCATGAGAATATTTGATTTATTTGATTCTTCAGTGGGTGGGTCACATTCATGCAAATAAGCATTTGGGCAGTTATTAAACACACTGTACTACATCTCACAACAAAAGTATCTTGTACATTAGTTACAATTATATAATACAAGTTGCACAGAAGGTCATCCTTTTATTGAGGTTTGATAGAATGAAGCGCCAAGTAAACCTTTTCAACATAGGGGAAGTGCATAAAATCATCTATTATATTTTGTTCTCTTTTTTTAAAACAAGGAAAGAGGGGAAAAGGGAAACACATGCAGGTATGAAAAAGTTAATGCCACAGCTCCATATGAATATTTTTTTAAAAAATAACACAGACACCTTTCAGTTTACTTCTGTTGCTACTGATATTTATTTCCCCTGGCCATTTTAATATATCTTATTTTCAAATAATTTCAAACAGAATTCACTTGTTTACATTAGCTAAAAGCTTTTGTGATAGATTGGGGATGAAAGCAAAATAGCTCAATTTAAGGATCTTTCTAAATTTATCCTGAAGAACTAAATTATTTTGCAACAAAAAAAATGACACAGTACAGTTTTAAAAGGGGACATGTCACAGATCAGTGGTTCTCGTCCTTGGGTAGCCCAGATGTTCTTGGACTGCAACTCCCAGAAACCCTGTCCAGCACAGCAGGTGGTGAAGTTTCCTGGGAACTGTGGTCTAAGAACATCTGGGTTGCTCAAAATTGGGGAGCCACTGTCATATATTATCCAATGATTTTGTTTAATAGAGTGACAACAGCTTGTGCTGTTGAAGATTGATCCAAGTGATCTACTTTAAAAGAGCAATTTTAATATTTCCAGAAGTAGGTGTGGAACTGCATTTAATTGGATGATTCCCCCTACAAAAATAAATAGGAAGTGGAATATAGCAGGCTGGTTATCTTACTGTGGAAGAAAGCTAAGGCTCTGTGGTTTCTATTTCACACATTGTTTAGCTTTCAAGAACTCTAGCATGATTCTTTTGTACTGTGTACAGATTTCCTATGTTTTGCACTTTTCTATGGCAAACATGACAGCTTTATAAATAATTCTGTTGTACAGTAAATAAGGAATGGTTAAGCTGTATAAAGAACCAAATGGGGCAGAAAACGACTTCCAAGGGTGACTTGGACTGATGTCAATGAAGGTGCTTGCTAGTAACTCATGTATAGGTACTGTACAGATGTGTCAGTCAGTCCTCTTTGCACAAGGAAAATCACTGTGATCTGTAAATAAAATGTAGTCCAAAAATGGTTTGGCTGTTTTGTTGTATGTGTTATGATACAAATATCAGTTATGAATTAATTACAGTGTTTCCCTGAAAATAAGACAGGGTCTCATATTAATTTTTGCTTCAAAAACCAGGGATGTTTTATTTTACAGTCATGTCATCTCCTGGTTGCTGCACAATGCTGCACACTGGTGGAGGGCAAGGTTTCACTTAACTAGGGTTTATTTTTGGGGTAGGGCTTATATTATGAGCACCCTGAAAAATCATACTAGGGCTTATTTTCAGGTTAGGTCTTATTTTCGGGAAAACAGGGTATATTGAACATTTTAATATGTTTTGGTGATATAATTTGCTTCTATGAATAAGAGATTTCTGTACTAGATTCCACTGGGAAAAATTGTAAGACCTCATAAGATTGATGCTTTGCTGCTTAACGTTTAATTAAAGTTTTTGACTTCAGAACTGTCAAATTATCAAAAGTATCTGCAGGCATCGTGCTGATTTTTTAAAAAATATTCATGGAATATTAGGGAAGCAGTTGAAGTAACAGAGCTTTGGCAGTACTCATGAATTATCTGTAAATCTATACAGAGCTTGAACAGCTTACTTAGTTCATTTTCTAAACAATTCATGTTATCTTTCACTGCTCTGCCATGTAAATCTTTTTGTTGTTTGCAAGAGAACTTTTGAGCAGTTATCCCCAGAAATTGCTACTGTCAATTAAGTTAGCTTGCTGAAGCAATTCAGTATTAAAAATTTAGAGTTGAGTTTTCTTTTCTTTTTAGCAGTCAAGAAATTGCTCTGGAGCAGAGGTTTTATGCTTTGCAAACTGATCTTAATTTCAGAAGTTAAGCAGGGTGAGACCTGGGTAGAAGGTGGATGGGAGACCACTGGGGATACCATGCATTTCTAGATATAGATGGGACAGAATCCTGCCTGAAACCCTGGACGGCTGCTGCCATTTAAAGGTGACAATAATGGATTAAGTGGACTAATTGCCTGAATCAATAAAGGGCAGTATGAGTTTCCCAGGATTTACCTAAACTCATTAGGTAAATAGAGTCCACCTTTCTCAGCTGGTCTCTTGAAGTGTTGAAATACTACCCTGTGTGTCCTGAAGGAAGAATGAACAATGAATGTAAGGGCATAATTGGTTTTTAAAATCAAAATATCCTAAGTTAAAGAAGAGACATCTGAGAACTTTTGATGACATTTATTTATTTGTTTGATTGATTGATTGATTGATCGCCCATCTGACAACCAAGGCCACTCTGGGCAATTTACAACAAATAACAAAAAAAAAAACAACAACAGAGTAACAAAATAGCAAATAGCGACATTAATACATAGAGGTGAAAATCAAAAATCAGAGTGAACTAAGGATAAAATTATAATACAATAAATACTATTAAAAGCATAGAAGAAAATAGAAACATGGAGCATGGCAGTATGATAGAAGCTATATTATTGGACACTATTGGATCAGAGTGCAGTTTATTCAGGGAAGGCCCAGTGAAGGGGCCAGGCAGACTTCGGGTAGAAGACAGTTCCATAATTGTGCTACCGCCGAGAAGGCCCAATTTGTAGTGTTTGTTTTCCAGGCCTCAGAACTCTCAGCCACCCTGCCTGCAATGATCTTGTAGGACAGGCAGACCTAACAGGAAGGAGGTACTCAGCCAAACTGTTTAGGACCTTATAGGTTAGTACCATCACCTTGAAACTGGTACGGAAGCAAACAGGTAGCCAGTGTAAGGCAGCCAGGGTGGGAGAGATATGTTGGTATTTTCTTAGCCCACTCAGGAGTCTGGCTGCCACATTCTGGACCTCTAGCAGGGCAGACCCATGTAGAGGGCATTACAGTAGTCTAATCTCGAGACTACCAGCGCATGGACCAGCATGATGAGGGGCCCAGTGTCAAGGTAGGGACATAGCTGGGTGATCCGCTTTAGGTGGAAATGAGCGGATTGGACCACAGATGCTATCTGGGATATCATTGATAGCAATGGCTTCAAAAGCATGCTCAGACTATGAACCTCATCCTTCATGGAAAGTGCCCCCCCACCTAAAAAAAGATAGGCACCCAGACCACAGATACTAGGGGGCACCACCGGCAGGATTTCCGTCTTGTCTGGGTTCAGCCTCAATCTGTTTTCCCTCATCCATCCCAGCACTGCATCCACTGCATCTCAAGGGACGGGACAGCATCCACTGCAGAAAGGTGGAAGAAGAGATTGAGCTGCGTGTCATCCGTGTATTGGTGATGTGAAGCTCCAAAACTCCTGATGACCCCCCCCAGCGGGCCCATAGAGATATTAAAAAGCATTGGGGAGATGATTGACCCCTGTGGGACTCCACAATTGAGAATCCATGGAGCAGACAACATCTCCCCAAGGTGAACACTGAAGAGGGTCCTGCAGGAAGCATTGGAACCAGGCCAAAGCCTGACCACCGATCCCCAACCCCAAGATAATAACTCTTTGTCTACATAACAGACACTTTCTACTAGTTTAGTAGCTAAGTGATGAGGCCATGAAACAGTCATGAGTTCAAATATCACTTCTGGAATAATCTGTCAGGCTCATAAACCTTACACATACCTTATCAGAAATAATACCACTGACCTTTCATATACCTGGTAAGTATGTATAAGATTGCAACTAGGTGGCATTACACTAGACATTTGTGACACCAGGTCCCCTCCCCATCTGGGGTATGTGGCATAATCTTTATGGTAATATTTACAGGGTTATAAGAATTATAGCCAGATAACATATGCAAATTGCTCTCAGTATCTGAAAGAGCTGGGCAGATGCTGAGTATTTTAATTAGGACAGCATGTCGTAGATTAGTGGCTTAACATGAATCTTTCCAAAGAATTCATAAATTCTATATATTCTTTGGAAAGATTTAAAAAATTTGGAAGGAAACCTATTTATATATTCGCAAGTATCTCCTCATTAATCGTAGTGCCTTTATGATTGGTACACGTGCTCAATTTGTTCCATGAATGTTGCCCATTTGGGCAGAGTCAAGCAGAGCTGGCAGTGTAAAAAATCACATTTCCCAGAGATGTATTCTTTAAAAACATACATTGAAAGTAAGATTTGGCAGCAGAATTGCATATAATAAATGAATGTGGATTAGACTAACTATTCCTTGTGGTTTGACTTAACAGTCTTCCATTAAGCCTTCGAAGTATTTCTTTCTCTTACTACCATTTTAAACCCAAAAATAAATTCATAAATACATGGAATTTTGGACAACAGTAGTCTGACAAAGTGATTGTTGGGAAGATATGGGACATCATATGTCATACATAGAGCTAATTTAGTCATTTTAAAATTATGTAGAGCAGAATCGAGAGCTTAACCTTTGGCTGCTTTTCTCCTGCCCATCTTTTGAAAGTCCCATATCAAAGTGAACACCATCAAATACACAACTATAGAATATTTGACTGGGATCTCTTAGAGCCATTTCTGTTCTCCTGGCAATGGACTCTGCTCGTAATATCTATTGCTTGCAGATTTAAAAAAAAATCAAAGTGAAGTTTAAAATAACTTCCAGAACTCCTAAGTCAAAGCCATATGCACTTAACTGCAACTTCTGGGTCTCCCTTGGGAAAACATTTTCATATCATTTTACCACTTGGATCAGCGTTCTCTGTGCTACTCTAGTGTGGCTATTTTTAAATGTGTCAATGGGAGTTAAATGTCTTTGAGAAAAGACCAACCTGTGTACAAGAATTTGATTATATATTTTCTCTTAAGAGGTGAACATAGATCTCTCCCACTAGTCCAGGTTGTGGGGAGCTCAGTAACATGAAAGCCACAAGTGGCACAGCCCAACACAATTTTCTGGCACTTCCGGATGTAAACCAGAGGGTATATTGAACTTCCCAAGTTTTAGATTCAAAATTATGCCCCAGTCTGTCCAATGATATTGTCTGCTCCCCAAATCCACACAGGAGAGGCAAGCTGCACCCAAATGTGTGCTCCTCCAAGATCTTTTACTGCTGAGATAGAGCAGCAAATGGTACTCCCTTTGCACCCAAGGCAAAGTGCACAGCCCACGAAACTAATGGTTATTTTGTCACATAAGGAACAAAATCCCACAAGCACAGCTTTGCTACTTTTCCAACCTTTCGTGATTTCTGGAATCTACTGTCGAAGGTAGATTCTGCAGTATGCTGCTCCATCTCCAGTCAGTGGCCTGTGGTGCACTAAACCAAAAGGGTTTATTGATATATGAGGAGAAGGTAGCAATATGGAAATGTTATTTCCTGATTTATGTCTAAGAGACACATCTGGCAAAATCCATGTTGACCACAAATGTATAACTTGCCATGGCTCTCCAAGTTCTTGAGTCTTTGATGTCATCTACCACTTGGTTGTTTTGTTGGCTTGGCTGAAGATGGCAAGGGACCAAACTTGATACATTCTCCATGCAGATCAGAATGCAAAACTCCACAGCAATACTACCTCTTCTATTGAAGTAGTGGTGGGGTGTCTTTTGATTCTTCCTAGAACTTTTTAAGCCAATCAGCCTCCTTCAAGTTTTAAATTTTCAACTAGACATGCTATTCATATCTTTATTGACAAGGTCTCAAATCTTTTCAGACTCATATCCAAAAACTAAATCAGAAAACTATGAGAAAGAGAAAAGGAACTAATAATGCATCTCATGTTCAATTGGTTGGCCAACAACCCATTGGAAATGCAAGAAGTGGTGGCTTTTAATTGTCGAATTAATTTCTTGATCTTATTACAATTTTATTATTTATTGCTATCTCTTTCCTTCATTATTTTCTTTATTTCATCTTCATGTTTGTTCTTCTGTCTGGCTTTTGACTGCTGTGTTTTCTGATGGTAGCATTACTAACTATATTTGCAAATGTGATTTGTCGTGTCATATATTTTTCAACCTGTTTGAATACTGTAAACTTTGGCTATAAGTGACAAGGTTTCACTGATTCCCTCCTCGTGGGGCTTTCTTTACAATGGCCAATAGTATGCCCCATTGTTC